ATCATAGGTAGCTGCACAGTATTTTTTCAAAAGTTTGGCGATACTGCCTCTAGTAATGCTACATTAGCACCACCATGTGGAGAGAAGGGACAGTATCACTCTATGGTTAAAGGTGGGACAATTGATCCTCCTGAATTTAAGCTAATTTTATTAAATTTTTGCCTAATAAGTTTTCGGAAAAACAGAATATTGTTTTTAGAGAAGAAAAAACTCATTATATTAACATTTAGTGAGCACTTTGTTGGATGCTAGGTTTGTGCTAAGTAAGCCCTTTACATGTATTATCTCAATTCCTCCTTACCCTGACCCCAAGAACCAGTTATCCTCTTTACGGTTATGGAGAAGTGTTCAAATAATGTAGCCTTAATGCCTTCTAAAAGTGAACATCAAGAAGATATGGACATAAAAATAGTAGAACTCCATCCACTAGACTCCTATGCCCTTAGGACAAGCTAGGCAGTCCAGTTTTCAAATGTGAACACAAAGGCACATTTCTGTCTCTGGAGCAACATTATATTATGGAAATAAAGTCTTATTTCAGGGTCTTCTCTGTGGATCTCATTTGCTTCTCCTCTGGCAGCTTAACAAGCAGAGAGCAGAGAGGAGTGAATTCTGGCCATCATTCATTCCTGTCGAAACAAAAACTGCATTGCCCCAGAGTCTTCTGAGAAAGACTCTGAATGATTAGTCTGAAGATTAAGGTTGTTAACCACACTCCTGGTCCCATGACCTGGAGCTTCACAAATGGCAGGAAAATATACTTGACTGAGATGTTTTTAAGTGAGTTTGGAATTAAAATTTAAACTACATCTTATTAAAAGATGTACTATATTACCATGAGTGACTTAAAAGTTTGTATATAGGGGCGCCTGGGTGGCTTAGTCAGTTAAGCGTCCGATTTCGCTTAGGTCATGATCTCGCGGTTCGTGGGTTCGAGCCCCGCATCGGGCTCTGTGCTGACTGCCAGCTCAGAGCCTGGAGCCTTTTTCTGAGTCTGTGACTCTCTCTCTCTCTGACCCTCCCATGCTCACGCTGTCTCTCTCTCTCTCCTAGAAATAAATTTTTAAAAAATTTTTTTTTAAATTTTTTAAAAAGTTTGTATATAAAAGAACTCATATACCCTGAAGTTCTACCAGTTAAGTGTTTGATTAAGTTAGCAACAGTAGTGGACAATAGCTTATAGCTCTGCTAGAAGTATCAGTCATTTCTACCTAAGTATTAATCAGTGAAATAAAGTCCATTTCTCTCCATTTGGTGAAGATCACTTGAGGGATTGAGGGATCTGATGAGAACTCACAGTGGGCAGATGATTTGGGGCATGAAGAACTTTGGCAGTGATGGGTCTGAATGAGCCATCCCTGATGTAGGGAAGGAAGCATAGCATGGTCCCAGGTGCTAGAATTTAAGGTAGTACTGTAGATCAGCTACATTATGGATTAAATCAATAGTTTGTAAGATAGTTTGAGAAGTTAATGTTGATAATGTTGCTCAGGTCTCTTAGAGTTATGACTGTCCCATGACTCAGTGACAATGTTTCTATGGGATGATGTGTTCTTAGTGTTAGACAACAAAATTACACACAAACGTTTATGATCTAACCTATTTCTGTGTTATAAATAAGAAACAGTTATCAATGACACATGTGTCAAAAGTGACACATTCCCTGTGTGTCAGTTTATGATACAAATGCTTTAAATGTTAACTCATTTAATCCTTATAAGACACTACTGATATTATTTAGTTTTACGGATGGAGCAAATAAGGCACAGAGTTGAATGGCTTGTCAGCGTTCCATAGTTGGTAAGAGGTTGTACTAGGATTCAAATCCAGGCAGGCTGACTTCAGAGGTTATGGCTCTTAACCACTGTCCAAGATGTTTGTAAATTCCATGCATAGATTTTATAGTTCTTTTTTTTTTTTTAAGTTTTTTTTCCTTAATGTTTTATTTATTTTTGAGAGAGAGAGAGAGAGAGCATGAGCAGGGAAGGGGCATAGAGTGAGGGAGATGCAGAATCTGAAGCAGGCTCCAGGCTCTGAGCTGTCAGCACAGAGCCCGATGCAGGGCTTGAACTCACCAGCTGTGAGATCATGACCTAAGTCTAAGTCAGATGCTTAACCAACTTAGCCACCCAGGTGCCCCAGATTTTATAGTTTTTAAAAGTATTTTCAATTGTGATTTTTCATTTATGCCTCAAAAATAACTGTGAGGCAATTTGCAGGAGCAAGACGGGAAAAACTGGAAAGTAGAAACAGCTTAATAGAGATTCAGTCAAGAGATTCAATGAGGCTCAGGACTTGAGTTTGAAAGCTATTTACATTGGATTTTGAGGGGATTTCAAAAAATTAGATGTGCATTATGATGTTCTTCTGTTCAACCAATCTTCTTTCCTTCTTCTTTCTTTTCCTTCCTCTCCTCCTCCTCCTCCTGCTGCTGCTGCTGCTGCTGCTGCTGCTGCTTCTGCTTCCTCTTCTTCTTCTTCTTCTTCTCCTTCCTCTTCTGTCTCTCTCTCTCTCTCTATGTGTGTGTGTGTGTGTGTGTGTGTGTGTGTGTGTGTGTATTTGCATTTCAAATTTCAGCTGATTATTCAGGGGGAGTGATGAAGTTTTTCATGAAACAGTCTATTTCTGAATGGTGATAGAATGATTAAGCCTTCTTTTAAGTATGAAAAATGTTCTATAAACCTTAAATGATTCTTCATGGTGTAGTTAAGAAAGAACACGATGAAGAAAATATATTTAAATTTTGACAATTCTCTATCTAAAATTCAATTCTTATAACAATGGTAGCCTCACACACTGTCCCTGTGATTCACCTCAATAACATTAAGTGCTCAATAAATAAATACTTGTTGAATCCCCACAAAGGTTGTACTCCTCACACTTGGTCATCAAATATTGCACCTGACCAGAGGAACGGGAAAGAAAGACACATTATCTTCATTTTATGGATAAGGCAACAGATGAAGATGGAATTAAGAAGACTGACAATTACCAAAGATGTAGCCAGGCAGGTTTAAAAACAATAAGAGCATGTAATTTGCCCAGCATGCTGTTTCCTGATTAAGATACGATAGAATCAGTATACGAAGGGATATGAACATGGGCATGGTGGAATCAATAGAGCAACCGTGTCTTGTAGTACTTACAGATGGATGGATAAATGCTCATTTGAGAGTTCCTCAACCAGTTTTCAAGAGCTATCCTGAAGCAAGAGAGAAGTACAGAGGTCCAGTTAGTTCCAAGTCCTATCAGTTCCTACAGGAAGTGTGCAGATAATAAGACACCCTCATGAGGAATCACATGGAGAAATAGCCTTCCATTCCTATACATGTAACCCTAATGTGCTGGGGGTTTTTTGTTTTGTTTTGTTTTTATAAAGAGAGAGGGGGCACACACACATGTGTGAGGGTAGTCGGGGAGATGAGGTAGGAGAGAGGGGAGGGGAGGGGCAGAAGGAGAGGGAGAGAGAATCTTAAGCAGGTTCCATGCCCAGCGAGGAGCCCATGCAGGCTCGATCTCAGATCTCAAGATGGTGAGATCATGACCTGAGCCAAGATGAAGAATTGTCCGATGCTTAACCAACTGAGCCACCCAGGTGTTTCCTCCTTCCCCCACAGTGTGCATCTTAGTGACCTGAGAAGCAAAGCAGTTGTGAAAAGATCTGTAAAAGCATCTATAAAAGCTCTCAGGTGGAAGCTGCTCCTAGCCAAGAAATAATAAAAGAAGAACTTAAATTGTAATCAGAGTCACTGATGTGCTATTAACATACTAGGCAAACACAGGAAAACAAAGATATTCTCCATAAAAAAGTAATACTAATGGAGAATTTTAAAGTCCCTATAAATGTAAGGAAAATTTAACTAGACTCAATTGCAATACCCCCAGAGGTGCTCAAACAACTTTCTTTTGTAGTCGTTATACCTCAGAGTCATTATACCTCAGTCATTATACCTCTGACCTTTTGGTCAGATTCTTTACTAAGTGGTGGAAATGAAATCAATAGTTTGAGAAAGAGGAGGAGGAGAGGGAGGGAGGCTTTATTGAGAAGAAGGAAGAATTTGGCAGTTGATTAATCCTGTTGCAAAGACTAACTCAGGTGTATAATAGGTGGCCCCTGAAAGAAGACTCATTTTTCAAGATGATGTGAAAAGCAGCCTTAATAGTTTTGAAACTATGTTTTGTGAGTTATTTAAAAATTACACATATACCATAGGTCCTTCAATAAGAAAAGACTGATGTCCTTGAGAAACTCTGAGATGATGTATGTCATCTCAATGTCCTCAAATTTATGGCCAGAGCATACAGCCTAGAATTAACAAGTGGCAAAGCCTTTGACAAACACAGCCAGGGAGCTTGCATTTTTATCTCCTGTCAGTGCATGTGCAGCCTGCAGTGGAAGGGATTTGTTTTGGAAATCCTCATACAAAGTAGATTTGTTTGGAACCAGTAGAACTTAATGGTTAAGTTGGTGATGCTGGAATGAAGCAGCTGTGGATTCACATCTTGGCTATGCTACTTTGTATATTTATGCAACTGGGGAAATTATTTCATCTTTCTGAGCCTCGGTTCAATTACCTGTGAAATGGAGGGGCGCCTAGGGGACTCAGTCAGTTGAGTGTCTGCCTTCCGCTATGGTCATGATCTCATGGCTTGTGGGTTCAAGCCCCATGACAGGCTCTGTGCTGACAGCTCAGACACAGCTTCACATTCTGTGTCTCCTTCTCTCTGCTCCTCTTCTTCTCGCTCTCGCTCTCTCTCTCTCTCAAAAATAAACAAACATTTTTTTAAAAAGTCATCTGTGATATGGGAATAAAAATTTCCAGAGGTTTTTCTCTGTTAGGAATTCAGTGTTATTTTTTTTATTGTCTTCTTATGCTTCTTGATGAACTCTGTTGTGGTAAAGCATTTTTACTTTCTCATATATTTATGTTCCTCTTATTTTGAAGTTGAATTATTATTTCTCTCCACATGTTGTTACCTGAGTTGTCTCTGTCTTGCAGAATCCCCTACTTTGAAACTAGTGCTGCCAATGGGACAAACATAAACCAAGCAATCGAGATGCTCCTGGACCTGATAATGAAACGAATGGAACGGTGTGTAGACAAATCCTGGATTCCTGAAGGAGTGGTACGATCCAATGGTCACACCTCCACAGATCACTTGAATGAAGAAAAGGAGAAGGGGATATGCGGCTGCTGAAGAGTCCAGTGAGCTACACAGTAACTCAAGTGGTCTGTTATCTCTGTGGGTGATATGTGGCACAGAGAGATGAACCGGCGTTGTGTACAAACTGCTTCTCACCATCCCAATTAGACCTATCAATTAAAGCATCTGGTTTATAATTAATTTGCTGCAGCTTTGTAAATATTTAAGATTCAGCCTGAGAGTTGTGAGAATGTTTTACATTGCCAGAAGTGCCTTAAAAAACCTTAGCCCATGGCAGTATATCATTCAAGAGTTGAGGATTTTGTAGTCCCAGAGGAGTGCATTTATTAAATAGAATGACTGAAGATACCATCACTTGCCTTAACATACATCAGTCCAGAATCTAACACTTAAAATCTTAGATACAATTATAAAACAATCAATCTTTAATCCAAATTTAAAAACCCTACTTGTACTGTAGGTGACTTTGTAAAAATGCCATCTAAACCACTTGAATGTTAAATAAGAATATACACAAATATCAGTTCAATATCCTTGAGTATTTATATAAATATTATCTCTAAAATGAATATAGGATAAATTATGTTTATGTCTATAGACTCTGGATAAACTGAATTGACCAATTATACACTCAATGTGACTCTTGGTAGGAAAGGGATTGGGGGTGAGGTCAGGTATATCTTAATATAGTATGAACAACTGAAGTGGGGCTTCTAGCTCCCTGCTATATTCCCACTACTCTGAAGGGTTGATTGAAGGATCAGGGAATTAGATTTTTATGGCCTTATTTCACTGTGATATGTGCATTTATACTTGGCTTATGTGCTGGCCACATTTGAACATAGCTGGTGCTTATGCTGAAGTTATTTGTGAGAAGTAAACATTTAGCTTCTTTTTCTTCATATTTATAATGTTGGTCTGGCATCCTCAGAGGTAGTTTTAATTAGCTTGTGAAGTACTAATCTTTTGTCTCACCATCATGCTTTATGACATTAATATTTGCAATTTGTTTTATTTTTTATATTGGTATAATTGGAGGAATTAGTTTTTAATTACATAAAATGTTTGCCATTTGGTAGAAAAAAAGATGTTTGTATTTAAGCAGTTACATTTATACTATAGCTCAATATGAAAAAATGAAGCCTTGTATAGCCTGTATTTTTTATTGAGATCACAGGCATTTATTGCACTTGCTGGGTCTTGCCAAGCTCATGGATTCCTCTGCAATGCCTAAGTGTCTTCATATCAAATTCAAGGTAGTTTTGAAATGTGCCTTATGGAAGGTGTTTATAAAGGTCAAGAGGGGAAAATTCTTTTTTATTAAAAGTGGTTTAAAGAAATCAGGTTAAAAGTTTCAAAGATCTTAGTGGCTATTTAGGAAGAAAATACCACTCATTGTAATTTAAACAAAGAATAAAAGTAAATGTATTTTTTGGTGGCCAATGCTTGGAAGAACTATAATCAGAAAAATACAGCTATGATAGAAAAGTAATTACTTTTACATGGTAATTTTCAAATAGCTTTTTACTGAGTATCCTGTTTTTTTGCCACTTCGCTCCCACCACTCCCTTAAAAAACTTAGCTGTGGTTACTAAGATCTTACATATTTCTAGCCTTGAAATAAAGACTTCTTTTAAATACCAAAGAAGTCATTGAGTCCTGTGCATTTGAATTGTGTTATACCAGTAAGAAGAAGATTCAGACATTACAAGGGCAGGATCATAATCACAAACATGGCCTTTTAAAGTTGCCATAAGACTTCAGTGAGGCAAATCATAATTTTACAGCTACATTTCAAGCAGCATTTTATATGTAGTTAAAAAGAAGACAATATTTGTATGTTTCACTTTTTCAAGAACCAAATGAGCAATTAGCTACATATCCCACTGGCCTTAAATATAATACAAGGTTAAACATATACATGATATAGTCCACATGCAAGAACTATCTTTAATTATTGAAATAAATAACCTGTATTCTTTTGGGAAATCATTTGTTTGGATTTGGTATTGAAGTATCATATTTTTGGGCATCAATGTATTTTTCTATTTATCAGATTGTGTAAAAGAAAAGCGTATCTTCAGTGAACTTTGTGCCAATTAAGCTTTTAATTAAAAAGTAGTCTAGTCTGTCAAGTTTGTGTGTGAATGTAATTCCATTTCCTATCACAATAAAGTCTCAAACAAGAAGTTAGAATATTAGAGAAAACTAAATTCAGGGATACAGATTCCATTAGGTGTTTGATGAGGAGCCAGCCAAGACAACAGATTCTGGAGAAGGTAATTCAAATATATTATCACCAAACATTTATAGAGCACCTACAGTTCAGGCAGTGTTATACTAGCCATTCTCTGGTGAGCAAAACAAGGATGGTAAGGGCCTGAATTAATATTAAAGCTGAGATATGGATGCAAGAGACTTTGGGAAGTGGATATCATCCATCAATGGATGGAATATGGAAGGAATATGTGGCTAGATGGACTCTGACCTTATTTTCTGTCACTGTCCCCCTCACTCACTCCCTTGCAAGCACACTGGTCTCCTTGGGGCAGTCAAGTGTGTCCCTGGCTCAGGAATATTTACTGTTCCCTTGATATCGAAGCAGTTGAGTCTGTGAAGCTCTGAAGCTCAGCGAATGTTACCAACAATTTTGGGGAGACCTGGAGTGATTTAAATCTTTTCTCCTTCCCACACCTTTTAATTAAAAAACATTTTCATAAGAAACTAGGGTTCCCTCCTCAGACTTCCATTCGCCACACTGGCAATTGGTTCCTTTTCAAGGAACCTTATTTATGTGCATAGATAAACATGTTTATTTCTGTGTGTGCTTGTCTCTTCTTTTTAACACCAGTGAGTATCCTATTCACCCTTTTCTGGACCTGGTTGTTACCGGTCTCCCATTACTGGAATAAAAGGACAGGGATTTTTGTCATTTTGTTTACAGCTACAGCCACGATGATGAAGTTTGGGGGTGATGGTGGGGTGGTCTGGAGGCTACAGCCAAGAAAGAATTCTTGAAGACATCTTTGGTGCAAAATGGTGATTTTATTAAAGTACGGGGGCAAGATCCTTGGGCAGGAAGAGCTGTTCCTAGTCAAATGATGGGACAAGAAAAGTAAAAAAAAAAAAAAAAAAAAAGTAAATATATCAGATAAAAGGAAAAATTGGATCTCTTTGTAGATTATAATTAGACAAATGGATTCTAAAGTTAAAATGAAAAAAAAAAACTTTAAAGAATAGCCAGGGAAACAATGAATAAGAAGGCCAAAGAAGGGAGAAGAGGGCTGCAAGTAAACCTAGTTATTTAAAATAATTTACAAGAATTTAAACATTTTCGAACTGGCACATAAATAGATAAAATCAAACAAAGAGTCCAGAAGTACACCCATAGAGAGGTGACATTTTGTATTAGTGGGGGAAATATCAACATATGGTATTAGAAAGAAAATAGAATCCTATGTCTTTACTTATATTTTAACAATTCCAGATAAGTTAAAAATTCAATGTGAAAAATACTATAAAAATAATAGAGAAAAATTATTGAAAAGGAATTTTGAAAAGGGAAATGCAGTTCCAAGCAAAACACCAAATCCAAAACCATAAAAGACTGGATAGATTTGGATACATACAAAGAAAACATTTCTGGATGGAAAAAATACTATAAGTTTAAAATATTGATAAATTGGGTTGGGGCTCCTGGTTGGCTCAGTTGGTTAAGTGCCCAGCTCTTGGTTTTGGCTCAGGTCATGATCTCACAGTTCTTGAAGTTTGAGCTCTGCATCGGGCTCTGCACTGGCAGCATGGAGTCAGCTTGGGATTGTCTCTCTTTTCCTCTCTCTCTGCCTCTCTCCTGCTCACACTTGCGCTCTCTCTCAAAATAAGTAAATAAACTAAAAAAACTGTTTTGAATTGATAAATTGGGAAATAATATCTCAATGTTCTCAATGTCAGCAAAGTACTAACTTTCCTAATACGTAAAGTGCTGTTAAAAATCAACACAGTAGAAAACTGTGTAAAGGACACAAACAGGCAATTCAGAGAATGAAATAGATTTCAATATTTGGAAATATTCTTAACCTCATTTGTAATTAAATAATACAAGTTAAAATAATAATGAAACAAATTTTAATCTCAGACTGGCAAAGATTATCCTTAAAGATGTGAAATCATTTATCTTACAGGTTGTTGTTGAGTGTTAATTGGTAAAACCTTTTAGAGATCATTCATTGTTGTCTATGAAATATTAATAGTGTACAAATCACATCTTCTGACCCAGCAGTTCTATGTAGATGAACTCTTTTTTTGGAGAAAAAAAAAAGTATATCAGTAAGTGACAGATTGGCAGACATGAGCTGGAGGCAAGAAGAGTCCATATTAGAAGCTAGGGCACAACATCCTGACCTTGTGGCTTCCAAGACTTTGGGGCTACCAGACCAAGAGCTACAGGTGCAGAATGTGGCTATCCTCTTCCACCTCTGCCCCCAGGGTAACCCCTAGTTTATAATGCACTGGCAGGGTGGTTTTAGCCTCCCCCTCCCCCCTCCCTGGCAGAAGGTGGGTGGGGAGGAAAGGCTGCAATGAATGTTTTGGTACAAACCTTGTAGGGTCAGAAACTCCCCCTCTCAACCTGGGGGAGGAATCCCCCAAATAATTGGAAGCTCCCTCTATGACCCAAGACTCTGCTTGTATAAAAAGAAAGGACCCTTCTAGCCTCAGTGCAGTTACCTCCTCTGGGCCACCCTGCTCTCCCACCTTAATAAAACTGCTCTCCACTAGCTACTTTCCTTCAGGCTATCTTTATTGGAGTGCAGATCCTCAGGTAAATATTTCCCAAGGGGAATCCAAGAACCTAGACCTCCTTTCACACAATGCTGACTCTCCCACCAGTAATATAAAGATACTTGTTATGTTAAAAGATAGGAAACAAACGTCCATCAATAAGCCACCAACTAAAATGATATCTTCATATAATTGTGTATATACAAAATGGTGAAAAAGAATGTTAAATATTAATAATAGAATATATATTTGTGTGCCAGGAACTGTTCCAGGTATTTGTTGATGAGGGAGCCTAGGGCAAGCTGAAGGCAAAATACAGGCTAACAGTACTCCCCTGTCCCCTAGTGGAATAAGGTGATATTCCTCAAACACTCCTGGCTACCCAATAACAAAGGCTTAACTACTTGACGTGGTAATGTGGGAAACTAATGCAAATGAAAAGTAAATTCCCTTACTGCCCACAACCCATTGACAAATCCTTGAAACAGGCAGAGTAACCTCCCTCTAAATTCAGCTGCCTTGATGATACTTTGCTAGGGGCAAAAGAGAATCTTAGCTTAACATTATCCCAACCTTGAGGATCCTGTAAGTCTACCTTAACATATAAAAATTCCTTTAAAAACTTCCTTTAACTCGGAGAGAGGCAAACCATGAGAGACTCTTGAATGCTGACAAAAACTGAGGACTGATGGATGTGGGGGGGAGGGGGGGAGGGGCATGGAGGAGGGCACTTTGGGGATGAGCACTGAGTGTTATGTAGAAACTAATTTGACAATAAACTATTTGTAAAAAATTAAAAATTAAAAAAAAAAACTTCCTTTAACTCAATTCTCCAAGATATATGCTGGCAGTCATACTCCAGGCTTATGGCCCTCTGATATACATCTGAAGGGTCCCATGACTGAGGTTTTACTAAACAGTAATAAATGGCATTTCCCTGGCAACAGCTAATCTCTCAAGGTCCCGGAAATCTTGTTTCCAAAATACCTCAGAGACTTACGCTATCCCTAACTCCCTCCCAACCTGGGAGTATATAATCAGTTACCCATCACCCCAGTACAGCTCTTCCTGCCCAAGGATCTTGTCCCCGTACTTTAATAAAATCACCATTTTGCACCAAAGATGTCTTCAAGAATTCTTTCTTGGCTGTAGCCTCCAGACCACCCCACCATCACCCCCAAACTTCATCATCGTGGCTGTAGCTGTAAACAAAATGACAAAAATCCCTGTCCTTTTATTCCAGTAATGGGAGACCGGTAACAACCAGGTCCAGAAAAGGGTGAATAGGATACTCACTGGTGTTAAAAAGAAGAGACAAGCACACACAGAAATAAACATGTTTATCTATGCACATAAATAAGGTTCCTTGAAAAGGAACCAATTGCCAGGGTGGCGAATGGAAGTCTGAGGAGGGAACCCTAGTTTCTTACGAAAATGTTTTTTAATAAAAGGTGTGGGAAGGAGAAAAGATTTAAATCACTCCAGGTCTCCCCAAAATTGTTGGTAACATTCGCTGAGCTTCAGAGCTTCAGAGACTCGACTCTCGACTGCTTCGGTCGTAGGCTTTGGGCGGCAGGTTTTCCTTGCTGCCACAGCGCAAGCACTCTGGGGACATAAGCCAGTGGCGGATCTGGGGCAGGCGGAGCCCCAGTGCTCTCTAAGGAGTTCCTGGAGACATCCCAGTGTGTGGAGAGTCGGCCAGGGATAAAGCACAAATCATTGAAGATATGAGTAAATGCTGACATTAATAGGGTATAATAGAAAAGAAAACGAGGCGCTGTGAGAACAGGTTCTTAAGGTGACGCCCCCGCACGTTCTACTTCCCCACAGAGAAGGTAGCCAAGCCGACTTTTCAGCTCTGCGCCTGCGCCAAATGGCAGCGCTTTTGCTCACGCTGCCGCTGAGAGGCGCTGTCACATTCGGAGCGCTTTCCAGGGCCCACAGGACCGACGCACGCACACTATTTCCGGGTCAGGTACTCAAGAGACGAGAATCACTTCCTGTGATGGGGCTTCGTCACTTCCACTCGAGATCGGCGTTTGGTCTGTGAGAACTCACGCGGTTTCAACATGCGTATTGAGAAGTGTTATTTCTGTTCGGGGCCCATTTACCCCGGCCACGGCATGATGTTTGTCCGCAACGATTGCAAGGTGAGGCGGCCCAGGCCGGCGCGCGTTCTGCGACGCTCCCGCGACGTGAGGAACGCCGCTTCCGCGCGCGGCTCCTTTGCGCCTGGACGTTTAGCTCGGGTTTTCCGCGCTGCCCTCACAAGGGGATGATTTTGTGAGAGCTCCGGCCTCGGCCTCCCGACCGGGAAGTTTGTCTCTCCTGGTTTCCCGAACCGAGCTGGACACCAGGCCACCTCACTCGGTGAGGTCCCCGAGTTACTTTAGCCAGCGCCGGAAGTAGTTTGGGGGGTGTGTTTGGGCTGTTTGGCCACTTTTGTTCGTGGGTGAAGTTCTTGAATTAAGTAAACTTGGTTGAATTCATGCCTGGTCAGGTATCATTGCTAGGGTCTATGTCCGTAGAGATGAATAAGGCCTGGGACTGTCCGTAACAAGCAGAGATTGTTAGAAATGTTGCATATGGTAGTCGTTATGTGTTAAGAAGTTGCTGGCAGTGATTTGGTGAGGGTCGTATATGAAAAGGCTCAGAAAGGAGATGTCATTTATCCTGATTCTTGGATGTTGCGTGAAAAAGTGAGAATTCTAGGTGGAAATAGAATGAACAGTTGAAGAAAGGCACAACGAAGCAATCTCCAGGGATGTGAGTGACTTGTAGATGGTGATCCAGGCTTGAAGTAAGGCTACAAATACGTATATAAGTCCGTATATAAAAAGATTCGTCTCTAAACATAAAATACATAATTAAGGGCCTGGTTGTGAAAGACTTTGTGAATGATACATGAATTTGCTTTCATATATCAGAATGAATCTCGTTCCTCTGTTTAACACATTTTTTCCTCAGAATTTGGATCTAGGACTTGACTTTTTTTTTTTTTTTAATGCTTATTTATTTTTAGAGAGAGAGACACATAGTAGGAGCAGGAGAGGAGCAGAGAGGGAGGAAGACACAGAATCTGAAGCAGGCTCCAGGCTCTGAGCTGTCAGTACAGAGCCCAGTGCCGGGCTTGAACTCACAAACCTAGCAATCATAACCTGAGCGGAAGTCAGAAGCTCACCCAGCTGAGCCATCCAGGCACCCCTAGGACTTTACATTTTAACAGGTGATGTTGTTAGTCTAAGGATTACAGTTCCTGCCTCATCACCTTGTATCTCTTACAGATGGGAGGTACTGACATCATTAATTTGTAGCAAGGGGTTCTTGCAGAAAGTGTGGGACCTAAGCTAGGTTTGGGAACTTGAAAGATAATATACAAGATTTTGAACCTGCTCTCAGGAACATGATAAAAAAATTTATAGAAACAAACCTAATGATTGTTAAGTTGACATTTAATTCACAGTGGGCAATATGGCTTTGTAGATGATCTGGTCTTCATAATTTTATGATTTTTGTCCAGCAGGGCTTATCAGGTGGGTATAGGAATTAGAACAACAAACCATGGGAGCTATGTAGAGTTGAGTGTTGATCTGGCAGACACAGTGGAAGTTCATATTGATGACGAAGTCTGTATTGCTAGCAAGGACGGTATTGAATTGGCTAGGATCCAGCTTACTCTAGGGAAGACCAGTGGATCCAGAACAGAGTTGGCTGGGGATAGAAGATGCAGAAGCCCTGAAGCACTAAGAAAGATAGGAATCTCGTTTTTCTGTGTTAATGATGTACAAATCTGTATCTTCTTTGCTCTAGTCTGAATTTTCCACTGGATAGGGAAAACCTGTTTGTTGCGAACAGTGAACTTACTGAGAGTGCCTAATTCAAATCTTTGTTTGCTTTCTCATTTAATACCACTGTCTTATGCCTAGACAGTTTTGCTAGAAATGTGAGAGTCATCTTTGAACCTTTCACCTTTTTTTTATCTAGTTATCAAGTCTTATTTATCTGTGTCTACAAAGGTTAGTGGTCTTTGTTTTCTTTCTGCCCTCCCACTCTGGTTTCACAATATGCATCTGTTACTTTTATAGCCTTTTAACAGTCTTTCTGCCTTTTTTTTCTTCTTAACTTTTGGGACTGTTTTTCTTTCCTTATTCTTCTTAATGTTCATTTATTTTAATTTTTTTTTAAACGTTTTATTTATTTTTGATGGGGAGAGAGAGAGAGACAGCGTGAGCAGGAGAGGGACAGAAAGAGGGAGACACAGAATCCGAAGACCGGCTCCAAGCTCTGAACTGTCAGCACAGAGCCCGACGCGGGGCCCAAGCTGTGAGATTGTGACCTGAGCCAAAGCCAGATGCTTAACCGACTGAGCCACCCAGGCGCCCCTAATGTTCATTTATTTTTGAGAGACAGAAAGAAGGAGAGGTGTGAGCGGGTAAGGGCAGAGAGAGAGGGAGACACAGAATCCAGAGCAGGCTCCAAGGTCTGAGATATCCAGCTCAGAGCCTGACACGGGGCTCAAACCCAGGACCAGTGAGATCATGATCTGAGCCGAAGTCAGAGGCCCAACCGACTGAGCCACCCATACACCCTTAAGACTGTTTTTCATAGAGACCTCCCTCTTAGGCTTCTTAGGTAATTTCTTAAGGGTACAACTAATGTTAATATTCCACATATTTATATACTTTTCAAACATAAAAAATATATGCACCCTTAATGAGTGCTTAGTAAGTATTCAGTCAGTGGAATTTTATAAATTTTTTTTAATGTTTATTTATTTTTGAGAGAGAGAGTAACAGAGTGAGAGTGGGGTAGGGGCAGAGAGTGAGGGAGACACAGAATCTGAAGTGGACTCCAGGCTCTGAGTTGTCAGCAGAGCCTGATGAGGGGCTTGAACCCACGAACTGTGAGATCATGACCTGAGGCAAAGTTGGATGCTTAACCGTCTGAGCCACCCAGGTGCCTCCAGTCAGTGGAATTTAAGAAAGAGTTGAAGAACTTTGAAGCTGAGGTATTAGATTATTTGTTTGCATGTTGAAGACTGAGGATAATAGAGGACTAGCTTAAAAGGGAAACTTGAGCCTATGAATCTTTGCCTAACAATCCATCCACTACCAACACCACCATAGATATAACCACCTCCTTTTTTATATTTCTATATTATTTCTATATGAATATATATACATATACATATATATACATATATGATCATTGTATATAGTTTTATCCCACTGTTTATGCTCTATCTCATTCTCTTCATTGTTACCTGAGACTTTATTTCAATGCTAGCCTAATCTTCCTAAGGTTTTTTTTTTTTATTTTTTTTTTTTTTTACAAATAGTTTATTGTCAAATTAGTTTCCACATAACACCCAGTGCTCATCCCCACAAGTGTCCTCCTCCATGCCCATCCCCCCCCCCATCCATCAGTCCTCAGTTTTTGTCAGCAGTCAAGAGTCTCTCATGGTTTGCCTCTCTCCCTTTCCCCCACCATTTCCCCCCTTCTTCTCCCCCTTGGTCCTCTGTTAAGTTCCTCCTAATCCTCCTATACTTGCACACATATGACATTTGTCTTTCTCTGCCTTAATCTTCCTAAGGTTTTAATTATTCTTCTATCCATAGCACCTGGTAATATCAGACACATAGTAGATCCTATTTGTTGATTAAATTCCCTTCATAGCTCCATTGATTGCAGTCTCTTCAGGTACTTTATTGTGCTTTTCAGTTAACATCTGTTAGATACAGAGTTCAAATAGACTTCTCTATAACTTTCTGTTGGGTCTTTTTGGAATTGAGGAGATCCAGGACAAGTTAAAGCCTCTCGTTAGATGTATCTCAGAAATGGGACTTGTCTAGGAATTATCTAGTATATATTAAACGTAGGAACCTTTTACTTTAAAAGATAATAGTCCTTTGAACTGAAAATATAAAATTTACTGATTCATGGTGGGAGACCCATTCGTATTCTTAGATTTCTACTTGCTTTGAAAGTAATTCAACAATATAGGCATGTTTTGACCCATGTCTCTTAGGAGAGGGCTCTCCAGAAGGTACTGACCTAGATCAGATGAAACTTGTATTGGCTTTTATTGGGGGGTGGGGTGAGAGGGAGGGTCAGGGGAGCACAGAGTAGGGACAGAGAGGGAGAGAGAGAGAGAGAGACAGAGAGAGAGAGAGAATCCCAAGCAGCCTCCATGCTCAGCCCCAGTGTGGGGCTCTATGCCCTGACCCTGGGATCCTGACCTGAGCCAAAATCAAGAGTCAAACGCCCAACTGGCTGAGCCACCCAGGCAACCCTAGTATTGACTATTTTTTTTTTTTTAATTTTTTTTTAATGTGTTTTATTTATTTCTAGGAGAGAGAGTGAGCGAGCGTGAGCAGGGGAGGGTCAGAGAGAGGGAGTCACAGACTGAAACAGGCTCCAGGCTCCGAGCTGGCAGTCAGCGCAGAGCCCGACGCGGGGCTCGAACCCACGAACCACGAGATCATGACCTAAGCGAAAGGCGGACGCTTAACCGACTAAGCCAACCAGGCGCCCCTTGACTATTTCTAAGAAAATTGTGTTCTCATGTTTATAGGGGGGACCTGCTTGAATTTCCCCATAGAACAAAGTGTACATAACATGAAAAATATTTTGGCTTGTGATATACACTTCTGTGATGTATATACACAATTTGAAATGTGTATACTTCATTTTGACCTTTTTTTCATGGGTCACATCTTCTAGGTGTGATGATTCACCTTAATTTTCTTTGCCAAGATCCATATACTCTGAAGTAGAACATTTTCTCTTCAGATTTCCTTTTTTTTTTTTTTAATGTTTTATTTCTGAGAGAGAAAGAGGCAGTGTGAGCAGGGGAGGGTCAGAGAGAGAGGGGGACACAGAATCCGAAGCAGGCTCCAGGCTCTGAGCTGTCAGCACAGAGCCCAACGCAGGGCTCGAACCCACAAACTGCGAGATCCTGACCTGAGCTGAAGTCCGACGCTTAACCGACTGAGCCACTCAGGTGCCCTCTTCAGATTTCCTATACACATACAAATTGCAATGTGTTCTAAGACATTACAGAGTAACAAAATATGCATTTTAGACTTAAAATGAGTACCAGTTAGCCATTTCAGGGGCACTTTGAAGCATCATTAAGTTTTAAGTTAGTACTCTTAAAGGATGTCTTCTGGGATTAAGGTGAAGAATTAAAAGTATTGAAGAATTTTCCTACTGTGAATACATACATACTTTAGAAAACAAATCTGTAGACAGTGTTAGTTGCTTTTTTGAAATTATTTTCTTTTAACAAAAAGGATGCAATGAATAAAAGGGCTTCACAGGAGTTGTTGAAACTTTCACTCCCAGTGAGGTATATAGAAAGTGATCTTTGAGAATTATTAAGTGGGGAGGGATTTAAATAAGTGACTTTTCCTTGAAACTATTGTGTTTTTTTTTTAATTTTTTAAAAATGTTTTATCTATTTCTAGGAGAGAGAGAGAGAGACAGCATGAGCAGGGGAGAGTCAGAGAGAGAGGGAGTGACAGACTCTGAAACAGGCTCCAGGCTCTGAGCTGGCAGTGAGCACAGAGCCCGACGCGAGATCATGACCTAAGCGAAAGTCGGACGCTTAACTGACTAAGCCACCCAGGCGCCCCTGAAACTATTGTTTTTATTCAAGATGATTGTAAGGTTTTACTAATAATCTATAAAAATGACTGGAAGTTTTTTAATCATAATTTTGGGGCCCTCAGCCATTATTTGTGATATTTGATAGATTTTAGTCAAAAAATAGTTCAATTTATATTAAATCTTTTATGTCTTACATAATTCTAAATGGTGTTGTAAGTAGAAGAAATTGTGAGTGACAGCCATTGTCATTTCTCAGACTTTGCAGTAGATTTTGTCTAGGCAGGTGTAACATCCTGTGATAGAAAAATTTTTAATGTTGACTTTCCACTATTTTAACTTGTCTTACAGGTGTTCAGATTCTGTAAATCCAAGTGTCATAAAAACTTTAAAAAGAAGCGCAATCCTCGCAAGGTTAGGTGGACTAAAGCATTCCGTAAAGCAGCTGGTAAAGAGCTTACAGTGGTGAGTATAGTTAGCTATCGATAGAATTTTTACGGTTTTCAAAGTTTTAACTTTTGTAAGAGATGGCATATAATTTAATTAACTATAACAAGGTTTTCTGTGATAAGATTGGTAAGTGATTTATTTGGGTTTGGCTCTAATTAATAATCTCATTTCCACATGATCTTAAAAACCATAAATCTGTAGAATTCTGAAACGGAAAAAAATTCCTAATTCAGTTTTTGAACATGATTTTCCTTATTCTCAGAAAGCCATTTTTTATATCCTGCAGACAAAAGGGAAAATCGTTTAAATTGATTGAAGTTGAAAATTACTACTCAAGGATTTTGAGACGAAGCCAAGAGATTAATTAAAGAATTCATGAATAGCATTGTGGGTTCTGATCAGATTTATAGTAGACTCATCTGGATGAGTAGTTTCTGGGTTTCCTTACAGGATTTCGAGAACAGAGAAATTAGTTAATAGTGTTGGTAGAAGGAGGAATAGTGGGTAGTCGGGTGAGAGAACTTCACGCATGAGTCACCTGTCATCAGGTTGTTGGTACTGAGTTGGTATAAGGGCTTGGTGAAGCTAGTTCACATTTGACCCCTCTAAAAGGAGGTGAAAGCTGCTGCACAAGCTAGCTTTGAGGGAGGAAGATCTTTAAACTGTTCCTTGCCTCCTTGACTTCATCTTTCCCACCTCTCCTTAAGGGCAATATCTAAGCAGTTGCTATAAAGCTTCTTCCTGGCTTCCTTAATACCATTCATTTTCCACAAATGGGAAGAATATATTTTGACAAGATGCAATTCACAGCCAAATCACAATTATTGTCACAAAAATAATTTCCAGTATGAATGAGAATAAACAACACTTCAAATTCAAGTGACAACTGCATGAGTGAAGAAAGGATGCCAGTCACTGTCATTTGCTGGTGACCAGTTACCTTGTCATTGCTGAGGTTATTGTGACTGAATAGGCCACATGTATATAAATGAAATAGATAAATACAGAGTTAATGCTGTTCTATGTGGCTATCTCACATAAATTTGAAGACTAAGAAACATACCTATAGTTTTTCTAAGAGATTATAGCTTTTCTAAAATTGTTTCTCATGTTTTAAAGGTAAATAGTATTGTTAACTGTCAAAATACCAACTACACTTCAAGGGCACTTGAAGAATTTCTGGGAGAGAATTGTGTCATGCAGAGTAGCACCACATTTATTTGAAGATGTGTAGTTTTATAGGTTTATGTTATAACAAAGTTATGTAAGTATGGAGATATATGAACATACATGATCAGTATTTAGGTTGAACCATGAAATTCTCAATGTTTGACTCATTTTGGTCTTTGAAAAGTAGTAATTCATATGGTTCAGCCTCATAGAAAGTTTTCTGCCTGTGAGTCTCATTTAGGAACTGCAAATTAGGGAGGCTTCTTTACTTTTTTTGTAATCTCCATGATTGTTATATAATCCTCTGAAGGGTGGGGCTGATACCATCCACCTGATGTCCTGTTAAAAATCACTTATATACAGATTTTTCAGTAGGGCTGTCTTGTACATCTGGTGGTGTAAAGGAGAAAAAGTATGAAAACTTGGGTTTGCTGGGGTCACCCTGGGGAAATCTTAATATGTGTCTATGGTTTTAAACACTTGGAAATCTTATGAAAAGGAGAATAAAGTTTTAAGTAATGCTTCCTTTGTATCGCTTTTAAAACCATTATTTTTCCCTCTCTTACAGGATAATTCATTTGAATTTGAAAAACGTAGAAATGAACCTGTTAAATACCAGCGAGAGTTATGGAATAAAACTAGTAAGTGACAAAAGAATACCAGGAATTTTCGAAACTGGTTTGGGATATTACCTTGAATTTAATGTTTTATGTTGTTTAAATATTCTTTTCATTGATTAGCTTTTATTCTTTATCTTTCTTTTACTGGTTTTGTTGTATTTGCATCTTTTATTATAAGCTGTCCCAAATCCTTTTCAGAATTGGCTGATATATCTATTTTAAAAGTAATGTCATTATTAGATATATTATTTGAAGTACCTACACAGAGGTATGAAAATGTAAAAATCTGAAAAACATAAGAGGTGGAGAATACATTTTTGGGGTGAGTGTGGCATAGTTAAAGTATACACAAAATTTAACACTTTTTTTTTTATTCACTTATTTTGAGAGTGTGCATGCATGTGTGCACTCAAGTGTGGAAAGGGCAAAGAAGAGAGGGACAGAGAATCCCAAGCTGGCTCTGCACTGTCAGTACAGAGCCCGATGTGGGCTTGAACTCATGAACTGTGAGATCATGAGCTGAGCTGAACTCAAGGGTCAGATGCTTAGCTGACTGAGTCACCCAGGTGTCCCAACCAAATATGCTTTATAAGTTTAGATAATTTAGTTTAGGGATAAAAACATTATATATATTTGGTATATCTTATAAAATGTAATGTTTCTGTAAAATTAAAAAGTGTAGCACTTAAGGTGATAATTGCATTTCCTAACAATTTCTAAGTGCATGACTTAGGTATAAGTGGAGCTATATCTTCTTGGACTGTGTGTAGAAATTAGACTCCAGTTTTGGAATTGGTTTCCACATAACCTTGGCATTTTGTTTTTTTAAAATAAGGTCTTTCCCTTCTGTTTTGTAATTAGAGGAAGAGTTAATTTCTGAAAAGCAGTTGAATATACTGGTTTAAACTGAAGGATTTCTAAAGAATTTAAAGGGATTTTTTTTTAAATTGAGGTATAATTGACATGTAACATGTGTATAGTGCAATGATTTGATATTTATATATATTGTGAAATGACCAGAGTCTATAGGTAGTATCCATTCCTTGGTGGAGATTTAGTTTGATATTGAAACAGGTAACTATCTTAGTCATCTGTGGATATTCAGTTACTATGACCCTCTGTGCTGGTTTCATGTTACCAACGTTGCTCCTGAGAAATATGTTGTGTTAAGATTTCATATATTTTAACAATAAGTACTTAGTCTTGCATACAGAGATGAAGAGGGTACATAGAGTCCCTGCCCTTCAGATGCATTTCACGGAGTACTCCTATTTATTGTTCCTGTTACACAGTAACTGGTTCGTATGTTACCAGTCATTGCCCCACTCATTTATATGTACATAAATTTTGTAAGCAGCAGTGTTCTATTGAGGGTTTTTTTCCTTCATAGATTTTATTATCTTTTTTTTTTTGAGATTCTAAAAGCAAACATTTTGTAGTAAATCTTCTCTGTAGACTTTGAAACTTGAAAACTATTTCTTACTACACAATTAATAAAAATTGTTAGTTTTCCTGAAAAATACGTTCTTCTAAAAGATTTGTTTATACCTCACACCCTCTATTTCAGTATCAGGTTTGCTAATCTGTTGGCAGTAGTTTTATATTAATTGCTTATATTTTTGAATTGTGTAAAGGTGTGGACTGAGTAACATTTCTTAAGATTCCAGTATCCACAGAAACAGCAGGAGAAATTCAAAGACAAGAATACTAGAAAGAAAAGTTTGTATTTTATTCTTCGTGTCTCTGTATTGTGAATCAGTTTTTATTATCAGGTGTTTTCTGGGGCTCCTGGTTGGTTCAGTTAAGTGTCCAACTTTGGCTCTGTTCATGATCTCACGTTTTGTGAGTTTGAACCCCGCGTTGGGTCTGTGGTGACAGCTCAGAGCCTGTTTCAGATCCTGGGTCTCCCTCTCTCTGCCCTTACCCCGCTCATACTGTCTCTTGCTCTCAAAAAAATGAACCTTAAAAAAATTTTTTTTTAAATGTCAGGTGTTTCTTACATTAATTTTTTTTAAATCTTCTGGAGTATTTGGAAATGTAGTGCCTTACTATTTGGATTTATCTGCCACATTTTTTAAAAAGTTTACTTGGGGGAGAGAGAGAGCAAGCACTTCTGTGGAGGAGAAGCAGAGAGAATCCCAAGCAGGCTGTCAGCACAGAGCCTGAAACAGGGCTCGATCTCACGGACTCTGAGATCAGGACCTGAAATAGAGTTGGATGCTTAGCTGATTGAGCCATCCAGGCGCCCCTACCCACCACTTCTGTTTATTTCCCCTCTGACTAATTTTAAGGTACAGAAATACTTTTGAGTACTTGGCCTTATTTTTATTGAAAACTAAAGTTACGTATTCAGCATACGCAGATTTAAAGTTGACTTTGTCTTAGATTATTTATACAGATATCATGAGGCCTTTGGGGATCTTGTTAAAATGCAGATTGTGGTGCATTTCTGCCATGCTCTCAGGTGGTATCAATGTTGGCTGGTCCCCAGATTACACTTAAATGTTTTTATTTGGACATAATTTTAGACTGAACAAAAAAGTTGGAGAATTCTGATACCCTTCATCTTTAATTCTTCAAATGTTAATTATTAAATTTAACATTCTCCTTTTCTTTGCTTTTATAATTTTTTGAAGTTTTTAAGTTGAATCCAAAATGCTTTTATTCCTAAGTAATTTAGTATGAAGAATATTTCCTGAAAAATAGAACATTCTTGTATATAACCATAAGTTTTTAAAATTAAGAAATTAACATTAATACAGTATTATCATTTAATCTCAGACTTGTGGAAGAACAGTACATGTCATGCCTGAGTTTATATACTGTATGATATTGACAGGTTTTTAAGAATTTTTTTTTATTTTTGAGAGACTGAGAATGAGTGGGGAAGGGGCAAAAAGAGAAGAGGACAGAGAATCCAAAGTGGGCTCCAAGCTCTGAGCTGTCAGCACAGAGCCCTATGTGGGGCTTGAACCCACGAAACGTGAGATCATGACCTGAGCCAATGTTGGATGCTTAACCAACTGAGCCACCTAGGTGCCCTGATATTGATGGTTTTGAAGAGTATGAATCAAGTGTTTGTTATAAAATGCTGCAATTGACTTTTGTTTGATACTGCCTCAAGGTTAGATTTGGGTAATGGACGTTTCGCTGGAATACCATAGGTGGGATGCTGAGTTCTTATCGTTGTATCCTATTAGGAGGTACTTTCCTTGTCTATTGGTCTTATTACTGGCTCTGTTAACTTTGATCATTGTTTAAGGTGACATCTGACAGATTTCTTCACTGTAAAGTTAGTATTTTATCCTTTATAATTAAAGTATATTGTCAAAAATTTAAGATTATGTGAATATCCTGCTATTGTTCACATCCACAAAATATAAGAAGTTAGACTGGGAGTATATCGCTCAGTCTGGCAGCCGCTATCCACTGGAGCTACTGAGCAGTTAAAATGTGGCTTGTCTGAATAGAGATTTGCTGTAAATGTAAAATACATCGTTTTTGAAGACTTCATATAAAAATAATATTCCTCAGTAATTTTTGTATTATGTTAAAATGACAGTAGTTTGATATGTTGGGTGAAACAAAATTTATTAGATTTTTGACTTTTTAATGTGGCTGCCAGAAAATTTAAAACTACGTGTATAGTTTGTCTTAGTATTGATGTAGATTGTAGAGCATAGTTGGATTCAGCTTTTCTATGCATTTTCTAAAACAATTGGATTTTAGTGGTTGGGAACATGGCAAATAGATTGGTTCATTCTACCGGTATTCCCCATGTGCAGACCATACCCCAGGAATTTAGAGAAAAAGTAGTATTTATGCCCAGAAGGGTGCTTTTTATTAATGGAGAGGACAAGGTAAGAATGAGATTAGTTGCCATTAATCCAGGTTCTTTGTAAACTTTGAGCATTGCTATAGAAGGAAAGTTTAGTAGCAATAAAGGCTTTTGTAAAATAAAAATTAGAGATATATTTGTGAAAGATAAAGAGTTAACAGTGATGTCAGTTAAGAGTACCTACCTTCTTCAGAAGTGATTGTTAAAGTTTTTGCTTGAATGTGCAGAAATTTGTAACTCTTAAAATTTTTTTGTAGTTGATGCAATGAAGAGAGTTGAAGAGATCAAACAGAAACGCCAAGCTAAATTTATAATGAACAGGTATGAATATATGTATAAAGTAACTCTTGGAAAATTAGTACTAGTAGAAATACAGAAATTTTTTTCTACCTTTTTTCACATAACTTAAGAAAACTTGCAATAATAGTATAAAGAACTCTTGTATATTCTGTTAGCATTTTGCCACATTTACTCTGTTCTTGTCTCTGTAGTAAGTTGAAGACATGATACCTTCTTCCTGAGTATATTTCAATGTATATAAAAATAAAAACATGTCTTATGTAATTGTATAGTTACCAGGAAATTAACATTGGATGATACTGTTATATAACCTACAGACCTTATTTAAATTTCACCAGTTCCAACAGTAACAGTAAATCCTGGATCTTGCATTGCATTTAGTGGTCCTGTTTGCTCAAGTGCCTTTTATTTGGACAGTTTCTCATCTTTGTCTTAAGTGACATTGACATTTTTGAAGAACATAGGTCATTTATTTCATAGAATATTCCTCAGTTTGTGTTTATCTTAGGTTTTCCTCCTGGTGGGATTCAGGTTAGGTACCTTTGGCCAGAGTAGCATAGAAATGATGATACATAAGAAGGACACACATAGCAGGAGCCACGTGTTGTTTCAAGTGACTGATCACTTGGTTAAGGGGTTGTCTGCCAGTTTTTTCTACTCCATTGAAAAGTTCTTTTTTTCCTTTTGAATCAGTACATATCTTAGGGGAGATACATTAATGCTCTGCAAAAAGTCCCTTCCTTAAACTGGTACCTGCTCGTGTTAGCATCATTAGAAGTTTGTCTGAATTTGTTACTATTGTGATTGGTGCCAAATGGTGAGGTTTCTGATTCAGTAATTTTTTTCTACTTTTATTAGTTTCCTTTCTCATATAAAAGAGCTTTTCCAGTTTCAAAATGTATTCCTTTATTCATATATTTGTGTGTGTTCATTGATTCGTATGGTATTCAATGGGTTATTATTCTTTGTCATTATTTCGATGTTCTAAGTGCTCCATATTGGCCAATGGGAGTTCCTTCAGGCAGGCTGCCATGTCATTGTGAATTTTCTCATCTTTCTTTGGGTGTTTTCTTGATTTATGGCTAATAAGATGTGGCCTCATCTTGTACTTCCCTGGCGTGGAATTGGCTATTTCTTTAGAATAGGGGCATTTGTGGGAGAGGGGGCGGATTTGTTGTTTTGATTTTTTTGAGAGAGAGTGAGCACTTGAAAGCGGGAGGGGTAGAGAGAGAAGGAGACCAAGAATCCCAAGCAGTCTCCATGCTATTGGTGCAGAGCTGCATGCCAGGATAGATCCCAGGAACTGGGAGATCATGACCTGAGATGAGATCAAGATTAGGACACTTAACAGACTGAGCCACCTAGAGGTCGCAGGAGCATTTGTTTTTGATCTCATTACTGTTTAAGTTTGTTACAGAAAAACATGTGCTGACAGCTTTCTGGCTTTAAAAAATGTTAAAGTGATACAGAAAGGGAGCCTAAATGTTTGAGAACTAGTCTCTCAGCATATTTGTCTCACATGAATGTCTTACGTGTTTTGTGTTCTTGTAGTTACTGATTTAAAAAATTAGGTAGCACAGACTGTATATTCTGTATGAGGAGAAAAGATCTAGGCACTTAAGCAGTTGAGAGATTTACATTGTATGTGTATAATAGACATTGATGTCTGAGGTTTAATTCTTCGATCACATTTCTTCATTCACTCAGCAAATATATATTAATCCCTACTTAGTTAGGAATAAAGTATGTAGGGATGTAATCAATGAACCAGTTGTTAGTAGAGGATTCTTCTTAAGCTAATTAGGAACTAGAAAGTAATTTTGAGTTCTTATTGCTTGTCTCTGGGTAAAATACTTTATTTTATAAATTATGCATTAATGTCTTCTTAAGAAATTTTAGTAACTACAGTTTTGGCTTTGATGTGTTGTGTCCTAGATTAAAGAAAAATAAAGAATTACAGAAAGTTCAGGACATCAAAGAAGTCAAGCAAAACATTCATCTTATCCGGGCCCCTCTTGCAGGTAAGTGCTGCATTACACAAAAGTTCTTTTTCAGTAGAGAAATTAAAAATCTAGATTGTTGTGGTCTGTGTAAATGGGTATTAGTCAACTTTTTATGGGTATTTTTTCATGTAAATAGCTCATTAATGACAGACTTGGTTTATAAAGATGTAATTTCTTCAGTGTATTTCCTAATTTCTTCCTTCATAAAAATCCTGTATTCCATAAGCTAGTTATGAATATTTGAGTAATAATTTCCATAGATTTTTGCCTCATATTTTAATTAAAGAATAATGTTTTTATTTTAGTGGTTTTCCAACTTTGGTTGGTATGGGAATTACTTGGGGCACTAAATACAGAGGCCCAGCCCTTTTAAGTCTGAGCTTCTGTTCCTTAGCTTTTTGGTACTGATTTTGATACTAAAGTTTTGAGAACTACTGTTTGTGTTAAAACTTTCTCTTTGTGTTTCTATAACTTGCCTGTAGTCACTCATTTGGACAGTTGTTTGTGTAGATAGTTTCTTTTGTGGTGCTAGAAAACCAGCCTCTTACTCAGGTGGCACCAGATGCTATCTGCTATACAATTTACTTAATGCAGATTACCCAAAGGGAGAGAAATTCTGTGAGACTTAGTTAATTCCTGTGAATGATTCCATGCCTAAACGTTAATAAACGTCAAATTCTGTAATAATACATTGAATAGATGTATGTAAAAGTTTTTTTGTTAATTTTTTCTGATGCTTATTATTGAGAGGTAGAGCATGAGCTGGGGAGGGTAGAAAGAGGCAGAGACACAGAATCTGAAGCAGGCTCCAAGGCTCTGAGCTGTCACCACAGAGTCTGACGCAGGGCTCGAACTAACATACTGTGAGATCATGACCTGTGCCGAAGGAGGGTTCTTTACCAACTGAGCTACTCAGGCGCCCCTATGTAAAAGTATTAAGTAGGTTATTTTTTCTGCCATATTTTATTAAAATAGGCAAAATCTTGGAATATTTGTTCCACATATAGATGATATGAACTACACCCAAAACACTAGTAATGAACTGTTGTTATCTAACTTTTTAGGTAACCCTCTGAGGGTAGGTAAGTACAGTGTTAAAAACAGAGACCTTGGAATCAGAGGGCCAGGGTTCAAATCCTAGCTCTTTGACTTACTAGGCTTACTGAGTGATCTGGGACAATTTCATCCGTCTCTGGGTCTCCATTCTTTCATATTTAAAATGCATGTTGTTAGGGGGGTGAAGTAAACAAATGTGTACGGAATGGTTATTTTATGCATGACATATCATAAGACCTGTTTAAGTTTAGTTATTCTTTTAGTTACTCTTCTTAAATTTCTTAGAAATGGCTAATGTTATTTTAAAGCATCTAAGATCCTTTATAAAGTGTTGATATGAGTTCTCCAAGGTTACAGTGAATTGATAGTTTTTTTTTATTTTATTTTTGAAGGCCAAGGAAAACAGTTGGAAGAAAAAATGGTGCAGAAATTACAACAGGATGTGGACATGGAAGATATTTCTTAAAGATCTCACTAACAATTTCTATAAGCACGTTTGAAAATCTCCTTAGGAGACTAAGAACTCCAAAATTATCTTTTATATTTTAAATAAGGTCACTCAAATGAAAGGTAATTAAAAATACATGTCTTCTGCATTGCTGTCTGTTAGATTGCGTTTCCATTGTTAAACCTTCACTGATAGTTACATTTATGTAAATCCTGCAGATTCTCTTTCTAAATACAGAAGTGAAATATAGGCGTAAAATGGTCCTACCTTTTGGGTAATAGCACTATGCAGTAGTTGTGTAAGAACTAATAATTTATTTACATATCACTATCCATAAATTTTTTTGCAGTAAAATATTAATTTACTTTATTAATGTCATAGAAGGGGGCTTACAACAAGGAACTAAAACAATATGTATGATAATTAGCCTCTAGTAATCTTTTGGTTTCTTAGTTTCTTAGAGTATAATGACCTCACATATTAAAGTCTAATTATGTTGGACTCTTTTCACCTGGTTCAACTGTTTTGATAGGCTGCGTTTGTTGGAGGTGAGAGCTGAATAGCATGTTCCTAAAATGGCAGGACTCAGCATTTCTGCTCTCAGACTGAGAGCCCTGCCTTGACTCAGGAATGTTCTGGAACCTACATTTCCATCCTTTGAACTTGCACCCTACAGGACTGCCCCAAGGTCTTGCTGTGTGAAGGGAGGTCAACTTAGAAAAGCAGAAATGGGATAAGAATGACTACCTCGTGAGTCAAAGTTTTGCATTCAAAAGGCCACTGGTTAAATTGAGGAGAGAGAGAGCTATCTTCCCTCACCCTCTAAGTACACATGAAGCAGGATCTACCCCCACCTTTTGGCTCAGCTTACCCACAACCATTTTGCCTGGGATCCTTGACACACCCTACGTTTGGAGACAGTCACATAATTCTGAAACCCAATCTAGAGAGGCTTATTTCAATACCTGTATCATAACCACAAGCACACCACCAGACTCCGGCGCTGAGAGAAGAGGATTTGATTCTAAGACACTGGCTCTGATCAATTCCATGCAGCATGGTTTTTCAAGAAAATGGTAAGTGGTGGACATTGAGACCCAGACAAAATTATTTGGACCTAAGATCATCTAGAGTAAGTATCTACCTTTTGTTAGTACCTTTATTAGTGGAAAGGTAAGAATTATTAATTAATGGGAAGAAAATAACTCCCTCTCACATACTACTGAAGTAGGAAATACAATTAAAGAAAAATATATACAGAATACTTTTTATTGTTTTTACATTTTTTGCAACTCTAAGGATATTTTGTAATCCCTTTTTATAGTTTTTTAAGGACAGGACTTAGAATAAATTATAAAGTAATGGCTAAATTTTTACTTTAGAATTAGTGTTAAAGTGATCACTGGACAAAGTGTTCAGGACAAAGACCTGAATTCCAGTGTGATTTTTGCCCTTGTGTTCTTATTTGTTAAATATGGCTCATTAGTAAACATTATTAGTTAAACAGGAAATGATACATGAAATCAAAGGCATTTGTTAAATTACTTGAAATTTTTTTTTCCATTCTAGATTTATGTTTGTTTTAATATAAACATGTTTAAGATTACATACTGTCCGCATATTTCCTACCTTGTTAGCGAGCTATTGCCTTGGGACCATCAATTTGGGAAATGAGCTGAAAGGAAGAACTGACATCACGTCTCAAAGTTTAACATCCAAAGAGTTCTCTTAACTGTCAGGAGTTCACAGTATTTTTATCCCAATAAACTGTATGGATATGGATGCAGATGCCACAGTCTCCCCACCCCCAGCTCTCTAAGCATGGTTTTATCACTGAGTTGTCCCTTTAAAATGTGTCTTGAGAAGTGGCATGGTACAATGCTATTGTTTCTGTTTGTCTGATTGAGACCTCTGCTGGGCAGTTAGTATAGCACAAAAGCATGAAATTTTTCAGACCTTTCCTTCACAGAATTTTTATATTCTCCAATTGTTTAAGGGTAATATAGCTTTAGACGTCCTAGAAAGTAATTTCCTTACAAATTTAACTTACAAAACCTTGTTGGACAGCAGGAAAAAAAAAAACTCCTTAAGGGGCACTTGGCTGGCTTAGTCAGTGGAGCATGCTACTCTTGATGTTGGGGTTGTGACTTCCAGCCCTGTGTTGAGGGTACACTTAAAAAAAAAAACATTAAATCTTATTTCTTAAAAATAGAAAACGTTGAAAGATGTTTATGTTATAGAAAGAAATTCCATAAGGCTTGGCCTTTTCCTAACATCCCAAGTACCACTCTCCTTTTTTAGATGGAAGAATTTTTAGGTAACTTGCCTCTATCACATAGTTAGAAGATGGAGGAGGCAGTGATCTGTATTCATGCAGTTGCCTATGCGTACAAGGGATTTATCGGGAGCATCAGATATGGTGTTCACAAGTTCTGGTAATTGCTATGTGAGCAGACTGTAGAAGTTACCTGAGTGATGCCCAACTTGGTTTTTTCATTGAAAAAATGGAAATGATAATATGACTAACCTCAGGATTTTTTTCATGAGGATACAGGTAATATATGCAAAATAATCATTTCAAGGCCACTTCCATAGTAGATAATATTGAAATGTTAGCTATTAGGATTGGCTGTGTGACCACACAAAACTTACAGGCAGTTGGCTTTGCCTCTGGAGAAAGGTATTAGGGTTTGGGGATAGCTCTCATTAAATTGAGTACAATGAACTTAGTCCATGGAAACAGGATATGTTAGGTTTAAAATGTTAATTTTAACTTTTAATTTCACCTAGAAAATTCACTTGTTGAGAGCATCTTCTTCCCTACTCTGTTACAAAAATTGGGAGGGAGAGGGAGAAATGTATTTCCTATTTGTCAGCTAGTAGTTTAAACCATGAATTGTCACCCATAATTTCAAGGGCTAATTCATATAAGGGAATTTATACCTGTCCCCCCATGTCCTTTAGTTTACATTTTAAATGAAGATGTGAAAAAGGCATCAGACTTTAATTGCACAGATGTACAGTATACATTCTAATATTGAATGAATACTAGGTGGTAAAAATTAGCATTGTAGCCTGCTAAAGTTAAAAGTGTTGAAAAGGGAAAATCAGTATCAAAGAGAACCCAGTTTCAAAGTCTGTGGAAAGAATTTTCCAAAATCATTATTCCATTATTAATATATAACAGAATTGGAAATGTAATACAGTTTTTACTGTGCATATCTTCATATTGAGTATCAATTAGCTTCATGTTGATTTGAATAGTTTTTATGTCAGTTGATGAATTTCATTTCAAAGAAGTGACTTTTTAAGAATGTATTCTCAGGGGTGCCTGGGTGGCTTAGTCGGTTAAGCGTCCGACTTTCGCTTGGGTCATGATCTTGTGGTTCGTGGGTTCGAGCCCCGCGTCGGGCTCTGTGCTCACTGCCAGCTCAGAGCCTGGAGCCTGTTTTGGAGGCTGTGACTCCCTCTCTCTCTGAACCTCCCCTGCTCACGCTGTCTCTCTCTCTCCAAGAAATAAATAAAAAACATTTAAAAAAAATTTTTTAAAAAGAATGTATTCTCATGTTGTTTTTTTTTTGTTTTTTTTTTTAATGTTTTATTTATTTCTAGAAGAGAGAGAGAGACACACAGCGTGAGCAGGGGAGGGTCAGAGAAAGAGGGAGTCACAGACTGAAACAGGCTCCAGGCTCTGAGCTGGCAGTCAGCACAGAGCCCGACGCGGGGCTTGAACCTACAAACCGCGAGATCATGACCTAAGCGAAAGTCGGACGCTTAACCGACTAAGCCACCCAGGTGCCCCTGTATTCTAATGTTCTGAATGTAAGAATCTACTTTCTGGTGCCACTGGTGAGCCTTTTTTTTTTTTTTTTTAATTTTTAAAAATTTTTTTAAAAAAATTTATTATTTTAAATATTTAAACCCAGGCACCCCTGACTTGAGTTGTCCTGCTCCAAAATTTTCCCTGGCTTTTAATATTTAACTGAAGCCATCATATAGGGATTGAAGGTGATATTTATGCTGCATAACCTTCCCTAAGGTACCAGTTACTGCATCTCATTCTCTAACCTCATTAATTCTGTGGCTGCCCTTTGATCTTGCCAATAGATTCCTTTTTCAACATTTGTGATTAAAAAAAAATATTGACTAATACACATCTCCACCCTGTCCAGCAAACTCAGCCCACTTCTATCATAATCTCCAAGGGTCCGGCAATCGTTTCTATTTTATCCCAGGCACATATTAGGTACGGGATGCCTGGAAGATGCTTGGTAAGTGTGACTAAGTGGGAAGTAAGTGTATAGGCACATGCTAGGTTTATTAGAGTTTTTGCTTTTTTTAATAAACAGTAACTTGAAAGATACAAAGAATAAATTACCAGCAGTGAGCTGTATTAAGAAAGGAAGCATTCTGTGACTTCAGCATTAATCAAGTCTGTTGGGAAGACTTGCTGAAGAGCCGTTGTTTGCATACCAGATTTTGCTTAGGTCTACTTAGTGGTGATGAGTTTGGCTGGAGCATTCACATGTCAAGAAATCCCAGGAAGGACTGAATATAGCTGTTGTGGCAGGGTTCTTAAAAAAGTTGTGCCTATAACTTGCTTTGCTGATGGAAGAACTACTTTAGGAGTTGTAGAGTATAAAAACATAAATAAGGAAAATGAATTGGGAAGAATCTATTAATACCTAAAGAGTACTGTTCCAAAGGAATGTTAACCAAAGAATACAAGAGATGGCACTTAAGTATTTTGTGGAACTCAGTTTTCAGAATACAAGGTTTTTTTTTTTTTAATATTTTTATTTATTTCTAGGGGAGAGAGAGAGAGAGAGACAGCGTGAGCAGGGGAGAGTCAGAGAGAGAGGGAGATACAGACTCTGAATTAGGCTCCAGGCTCCGAGCTGGCAGTCAGCACAGAGCCCGATGCGGGGCTCGAACCCACTAACCGCGAGATCATGACCTAAGCGAAAGTCGGACGCTTAACTGACTAAGCCACCCAGGCGCCCCACAGAATACAAGCTTTTAAATATTACAATAAAGTAATAATATGTTTAGTTTGGTGCCAAGCTGTGGACTCTTAGGAACACCAATGTGTGCCATTCTAGTCAGAGTGTACGTCTAATGAAACTTTCCTCTTCTGATACCAAGGAATGGAGTATAGGGAGGAGTGAGCAAGTATTAAAAGCAGTCTACTTGATTAAAAGAATTTGCCATTCAGGAGGATAGTACAACGTACTCCTATATGTTAAACT